GATGCCACAGCGAGAGGCACGGGGAGCCCTTCCGTAGCCCATAGAGCTCTGCCATCACCAGAGATGTTATGCAGGCACTCCCCCCGCAAACACATGCCCATCCTCTCCACTCACCCCCCGCCCACAACAGTCCCCAAACCCTGGCCCTCCAACGCCAAGCCCCACAGACTTACCTGAATGCAGGTACCAGAGCTGCTCCCACCCCCCGCCTGGCTGCATGCCAGTCACGTGTATGTGCACCCTGCCTCCAGTCGCCCTCCCCTCATGCCCTCCAGCTCCAAGCAGGCAAGCTGGGAAAAACTTCAAAGCTGAGCTGACCAAAATCTCAGACCTTTGATCACATTTTAAAAAAGCTACCCGGACAGAGATGGGAGGACCCAAAAAGAAGACATGTCTGGGAAAACCCAGATTTAGGGTAACCCTAAGCATATTGTGATATGTCTCTGTGAGGGGGACTGTAAATAACACCCCTCTCTTTCATACCCGTCCTGCACAGGAGCCTGCACAGATTGTCCCACATGAGGTCTGACTCCCCTCTGTACAGAGCAAAGATGCATTCTGCTTTTTGTATCAGGTAGAGGGAGGCTGTGTACATCTGGTGAGCCAGATCCTTAGGTGGTATAAATCACTGTAGCACAAGGGCAGCAATGACTTACGCTAGTGGAGGTTCTGACCCTGGAGCTTTATAGTAAAGCAATATATTTCCACAGGCCCGGATCCTACAGCCGCGCTGTAATCAGTGTGGCTAGTGACAGAAGGGCCACTTGTCTGAGGGAGGCTTGCAGGGCCACTCCCAAGTTATTTATTAAATCAAGATACTCCAACCCACTCAACAACCCTGCCAAAAAACAAAACTCGCTGCAGTCAAAGTGCTCTGATAAGCAGTAGCATATTTATTACCTTGGACTTCAACTCCCATCAAACTGACTGCTGCTTTGGAGGATAAGCAAGCTTCTACTGAAGTCACCGGCAAGTCTTCCATTGAATTTGGTGGGACTTGGGTCACGCTTGTGACTGGCATCTGTAGAACTGGGCTCTGGCACTGCACACGGGACCCTACGTTCACACAGAGTCCTGTTAGCTTCAGCAAAGCTGCACGTAGGATACGGAGCCCTGCCTTCCCACAGTCCCTATGAAACCGAACAAAAATAAGGCCTTTACAGAAAGCGACCAGGGAGCAGGATCAGAGCTTTGCTTTGCCCCTACCATTCTCTAGCATGCAATAGGGAAAAAAAGATTTTTTTTCTTCCCCATTCTTTTGAACTTTCCCTCTATTTTATTTTATTTTTTAACTTCAGTGTGTCTATGGGCCAGCATGAAATCAAAGGGGATTGAGTCAAAACAGTGATTTTTTGTCCCTAGTAATCAGCCAGAAGGAATTGACTAGACAACTTGATTAAAAACAATTAACAGATAAACGAAACAAAAAAGAATTCTTGAAATTTAAATGGAAAAGAGTCAAGCGAGCGATTGACGATGAGGATTTGAAGAGAGGGTTTATGTTTTTTCTTGTAATTTGAGACTCTAATGATGGACTTATGTTGCCCGCTCTTCCCTTTTTCTTACACCTTACCTACTAAAGGAGGAATTCTTGATTGGTAAGTGGATACTATCCGCAAGACACTAGGGAATTTATTAGAGGTCACTCAAGAGCATTAGCTGTACCTTCTACAGGGGGAAAAAAAGCACACAAAGAAATATCTGTATATCTTTTATTTCCAGAGGGATTTTTCTTTTTCTTATTTTTTTCTTTTTTTCCTTTTTTTTTAGTTTCAAAGTGCTAAACTTGTTTGTTTGCCAGTTTTTACTTTGTACATAAACCTCTTTTTTTTTCTTTTTCTTTTTTGGTTTGGTAACATTTGTTCAGTCTCCTTATTAAGGAAACTAAAAAAGAAAGTCAGAATCATTTAGGCTTTTGTTCCACTTTTATTTTATTTCCAAGGAGTATGTAGTTTTTTTTGTACGTATAGTCCTGTTTCTTTTTTTTCCCCTCTTTTAGATCAAATAAGGGTTATTTTCTCTGTTTTATCTTTCTTATTTTTTATTTACTCCTTTGTTTCCCGATATTTTTTAAAATCTTTTGTTCAACATGACTCGCATGCTAATACTCTTTGCATGATGTCTAAATCTTCCAGTTATCATATCAGGGGGCAAAGAAGGTTCTTCTTACTGTGGTTTTCTTTCAGGGATATGTGCTTTTGTTTTCTTCTCCTCTTTCTTCTTTTCTTGCTTTGTTTCTTTCTTTCTTTTTGTTACAGTGCATCATGACGGTAAAATTTCTTGGTTTATTTAAAAAAAAAAAGTCAGACAGAATAAAACCACCATTGAAAAAAGTTCAAACAATGCCAAATGGCTTTTTTGCTTTCAGATCTCTCAGTCAGGGTCTTCTGCTGACCTCTTTACCAAAACAGACAGCCCGCTTGGCAACCTAGCCAGTCAGAATGGAGGGTCCCATGAATATGACTCAGGAAACGATACTTCTTCTCCTCCCTCCACTCAAACAAGCTCATCCAGGTCAAAGGACATCCAGGAGAAAAGAAATGTAGCGCACGATGGCTTTGGCCACTCCTTCTCTTCTGGGAAGCCTAAACTGGCCAACAGTGATAACAGCTCTGATTCAGGAAATTCCTTCACCAGTTGCTTTTCCCAGGTCAAGGGAACAGCTTTGGAAAATCTCTCTCCAGATGCCCAGGGACAGGATCAAAGGTCAGTGATCACCAACCATTGCAACCTCCATTCCTGGAATGGCTTAGTGTCCCCTGCTCATTTATCTGTTGCAATGGGAACTTACCCCCATTCTGTAAGTCAGACCAGTGGTCCAGCAGGTGCGGTGTTCCAACACAAGCATTTCCTTAGGTTTCTGAGGAAGGTGCAAGACAATTCGCAGCTCACCTGAGCAATGGCACAGGGTCTGTGCAGAATTCCTCTCTCAGCCCCATGGTAACAGCTTATCCTTTGGAGCACAAGAGCTGGCCATTCTTATCATAGCCCATTAATTCTTCTCTTTGTTCATGGCCTTCCCCATGTAACAAGACCCCTCAGAACAGATTCCGCCTGGATCCAAATACAGGCAGGAATCAAAGCCCCAGACCCAAACCCTGTGATTTTTGTCAGTCTGTATCTAGATGTCACCTGAACTCATCTACATTTGGCTTGTTGTGACCTTGTAGCAAAAGTGCTGGGAAGGTCACTGGCACATTTGGGTAAACTTTCAAAGGATGGATGGATGGGTGGATTCAACACTCCTCTGTCTCATTAAATTCATTGTCAGGAACCAGAACCATTGGCATTTAAATTAAAGCTTTACAATCAGCTTGCTCCTCCAGCATGATTCACTAGGCTGAATCCTGAGTGTTCCTGCACAGCTCCCGCACACTTACTGCACAAAGAATTGCTGCATTCCCTCTGGGTAAGAGCAAAGCAGCGCAGGGAAAGCTTTGGATATTATTCTGTACCCAGTGATGGCTCTCTGCACTGGAACACAGATGAGAGCAGTAGGATCATGCTCAGATCAGCCTCACATAGCCAAATTGCTATGGGAAAGTGGATGCCAACCCACAGCATCTGCTGCCCATTTGCATACACTTGCCCAACTACACGTGGGGGCTGAAGACTCTTCCCCCTGGGTCGACATGTATGTTTCCTTGAGCACAGAACTGAACCATTGTTGATGGAGCTTAATGTTGCAGTGTCTTATGGCTGCACTGGCTGGGTCAGAGAAGGGCAATGCACCTCTCTTGCCAGCACCACTGACTGTCATGTTTGCATTAAAAAGCAGCAGGTGGGTCAGTGCAGGGTCAGTTTGGTCGAGTGCTTCCCTGCTGTAAATGTGCATGGCTGCATATATAGCACTATGTGCCATTTCCTGTGAAGCACAGGTTTTGTGGACAGGATAAGTGCAGCAACAGCTTAGATGTGTGCTCTCTCCTCTGCAAATGAGGACTAGCAAAATTAAAGTCAAGGGTGTTTTAGCAGCATACACCCAGGATAATTGAGAACAGGAGAGACGGGACCTGACTTCTCATCTTCAAGGCAAAATCCTGCCCTCAGGTACATGGGTAAAACTCCCCTTTACTTTGGTAGGACTCAAGCCCATTTAACTGAATGCATAATTTAGTCTTTAGGGTTAAACACAGCTTTCCTGTACCATTGCCAGCCGTGGGGTAGCTCCTTTGAAACCTGACCCTTCATTTTGACAGACGCTGAAACCAGGGAGGAGACTGGAATGACTTGGGCCCAGTTAGCTGGAGTCAGTGCCTTAGGACTGCATAGCAATGATCACTGCTTTGTAACGCCTTCAATGGGTGGGGACATCTCTTTTCAGAGGATGCCTGTCCCCCTGTCTCGGCTGCTCAGAAGAAAAGAAGCAGAGCCCCCTCCCTTCCCCAGCCCACAGCTCCCCTCTGAGACTGTGCTCTCGCAGTGGGTCCTACACCAGCACGGGAAGGTCCTCCCAAGGGTCCAGCCGCTCCACCCGGTCCCGCTCACTGCATCACAAGGCGACACCCAGGTACTCCCGAAGCAGATCCTGCTCCTCAGGGAAAAGGTGAGGTCAAGTCAAATGGCTGTCTCTGTTATTGCTGGCAATTCTCAGGTGTTACAGTGGTGGCCAGGCCTGGGCATGGACCACAGAATACAGCCTGGCTTATGCTGCAAGGGCACACAGATAGTTCTGGGAATGCCAACACACTTGCTTCTGACTGGATGGAAAGGCACTAGCAGAGCCCCAAGCTTGGGGAGAAATGCATGGCTTGATTACTTTCAGGATGCCCAGCCTTCCTCAGGTCTGGGCTGAGATCATGAAGCTCATTTTCATTTGGGACCATATTTCCTTTTCAGCTCTGATTCTGAAAAGGAGCCTTGCACATCCTCACTTGGAGTTTGATAACCCTTCTCTGGTTTACGCCTACTTCCAGGTCCTATTCACGTTCCCCAAGCTACTCATCCAAGTCCTGCAGAAGAAGTCCCGGAAGCAGGAACTCAAGGCCACGTCGAAGTCCCAGTTACTCCCACTACAGCCCTAGCAGGTACTGCTGGCTCCTGGGGTATAATACTCTATTCTGTGAGCATCTCATGCTTTTATGCTGCTTCAGTTCACAGCTGTAATTACAGCACACGTGCATCCATTTACAACACGTCCCTCAGCCTAGTAGCTGAGCACTGAATGCAAACTCAGAGTGAGGGAGGTATGTACATGAGGCCTGCGCTTTGTCTCCCTCCCTGTTTGTGACAGAGCACCCCAAGCGCAGCCAGTTCCTTCCGCTGATGCCACTCGACACTGATCGCTGACAGGAGAGACTGGAGCAGAGCTAGGCAATCCACCTGGAAGGCAGCCAGACAAAGCTGCCTCCTGCAGCATGGGTTTTCTGCAACCTGCACTTGCTAACCTGGACTGACCTGCCTCAGTTCATGAGATTTGGACCCCTTTAAGCATGTTGTGGGGCATGATGGAGAAAGAGGGTTTGAAGGTTCAGCCGCTTGAAATGTGTCTTGAATATGGGTAGCTAGTGCGGCCTGATGGGTGTGCTGTCTTTCCTCTGGACACTTTAAGAGGCAGCCTGCTAATCTACTCCATCTATGTCACATGGTGATTGGTAGTTTTAGAGCTATACCACAGGTGAGCAGTGGAAACCAGAAAGAAAAGGGAAAAGTGCTCTCTACAGTGCCTGTCAGGTTGGCCCTGACAGGAGCAGTGGAATCAGAGAGGGGCTGAATGGAGGGTTGCCTACCAGCCTGGATGGCACCAGTGTTAGACTTGGATGGATTTAGCCTCTGTGCCATGAAAATCTTTGACTTAGCCTAGGCAAAGTGATTGTACCAACCTGCAAGCTAAATCCTGTGGAAGGCTTGAGCCATTGTCAGAGAGGTTTTCCTGAAGCGAGAAAAGAGACATTTCCAATATGTGGAGCAAAAGATACCAACTGTTGGGACCGCTGGAGTTCTTGAAATGTTTCTTTGTGGGGAGGGCAGTCTGGCCTGGTGAAGTGGTCTATTTATATAACAAACGGGCAGCAGTAGAGAAGGTCCTATTCACGTGCAGAAATCTTTGTTCTCCTCACCAAGTACCACAAAGCCCCTACTTATGCCCTTAGTCCCTTTATTAACCCACGTGGGGTTGGTTTGGCTCAAACATAGGAAAAAACAAGGACTCTCGTTGAGAATGTGATGTGTTACACATCGCTTTCACCTGGAAAAAAAAGATCTTTTTTTGCCAATATATGGTGGCAGCTTTCCTGGCCAGAATAACCTAGCAGAGAGGCACACAGCCACTTGGCATCGGTTAGCTGGATTTGTGTTCCAGGAACAGAAGATCAGGAGGCAGTCTGGGATCGCCTGCATGGGAAATAAAGATGATGGCCCAGATTCAGTGTTGGGGTCAGTATATGGCTACAGAGAGGAAGCTGATACAGTACATAAATTGTGCACAAGCTATGGTGGAAGGCAGGTAACCAAAGCACGGCACACTTGTAGAGCAGTGCGAGTGGTAGACGGCTGGTGCAGAGTTCCAGCACGTCCCGGGTTCACAATCACTGTACCGTCTTTGTCACCCGGGGTTGTTCTTGCATGATGCAGGGATGTTAGGGGAAAAAATTCCTTCCCTTCATTATATGTAGAGCTCGCACCTAAAGGAGTCTTCCATCAGTTTCAGGCAGGATAATCTTTGGTTTTTAGATTGAGCAAAAGATAAGGCAAAAGAGAACAGGAGTCAGCTCTGCCTGAGAGAGAGCACTGTGTGCACCTCATCTGAGCACAAAATAGCAGGTGCATCTGCAGCAAGGATCCCACCCTCTTCTCACTATTTCAAGGTTCAGTACTCAAAAAACAAGGCTTAGCAGGCATCAAGCATAAACGTCCAAGAGCTAATGCAAATATGCAATAATTGGGCAGTTCTTCCCTCGGGGCTGTGACAGTGGACAGGGCAGTAGTTATAGTGGGGCTCCCTCTGGCAGCTGGGAGAAGAGTGGCAGTGTCTGCTATTTTTGCACCCTGCTACACTGCCACCCGAGGTTGTTGCCCCAGTTTCCCCTCCTTAGTTATCCAGGTGTTTCAAATCACGTAGTTAGCTACTTCAAGTCTTCTCAGTAAGGACATGTGATAACTTGGAGTCCTCAGGGCTAGAGACCCTTCTGTCTCCCTAGACTAGGGGTGGGCAATTATTTTGGGCAGAGGGCCACTTACCGAGTTTTGGCAAGCCATCAAGGGCCGCATGACAGGCAGCCCAGGGCAGATCAATATTCATTTTTCTAAATTTTTTAGAAGGAATGGCCTGGTGGGTCACATCCAGCCCCTGGGCCGCAGTTTGCCTGCCTCTGCCCTAGACACAGCACAAAGTCTGCAGCCCAGGGGCTGAGCTAGGGACCCAAGCCTGTCCCCTGCTCAGCAAACCCCCTCACAAACACACTTCTTTCACATGAAAGTCTGTTATTTCTGAGACTGAGAAAACTGTAGCAAAGAAGCCGAGATAGAATAAAACTATATTAAATTCTGACCAAAACCAAGGCAGCATTGTTCTGGTTAAATGTATGAGAGCATTTAACTGCATCGTCCTAATACACTTTCCAAATCCACCTAGAGTGTTTGTTTTCAAAACCTAGCTAAGCACATAATAAACCTAGCAAGCAAACTCCCCTCTCCAAAACACAGTCCAGCCTATTAAATGCATTCAAACCTAGCCAGGACTTTCCAATATCCCCAGCTGTCACTGAGTAACTCATAAACATTCTTGCATACTTAAAAAGCTATTGTATTCTCCAGGTCCCATACTTGTTGGCAGCATAGGCCTCTTTATGCCACTCCGGCAGTGTGAAGGGGCCTCATTGGAATGAACTCATCATTTTGCAAAGTGCTTTGAGTGTGAAGGGCACTATGCGAAACCAAATTGACTCCATTCCCTACAGACACCGTCAGGGCAGTACAGAGGAAGGGCCTCTGTTGAAGCATAGAGAGAACCTCTGAAACAAAAATCCAGCAATCCCCAGTGAGGGATCCAGCCCTCATTCTGGATATCTGAGGCCCGCAGAACAGATGTGCCACACAGAAATAGCCCACACCTGTTACAACTTTGCAGACCTCACATTTCTACAGGCAGACTGGTTAAATCTGCCCCTCCAGCCATGTGGGCGCTGTTCCTCTGTGTTGCAATGCAGTGCAGGGTTTGGCAGGTGCAGTGACTAAGGCCTCTCTTTGTACAGTTTACAACAGTCTATGGTTTGTTGCTGCGGAGGCGGTCACCTGGAAACTGGGATAGTCCACATGGAAAAAGTGTCGAAAACCCACTCCCCAGTCAATTTGTGAGGAGCTGCGTAGCAGGCTAGCTCAGTCAGTGTCTGTACATGACTAGTCTGTTTGAAGGTGATTAGTAGAACTGTCCTTTTACCACAGGGGTAGATCCTGCTTTGCTTTGGGCCCTGTTTCAAGCCCCACTGCTGAGTTGCTATACATCTCTGCCTGGTGCATGCAATCTGAACCCCATGTGCACAAAACCAGGCAGTGACAGCTCCAAAACTGGTTGTTCCTTAGGGATCGTGAGAGAGAGCACAAGTATGGCTCCAGTGAGAAGGAGTCCCACAGAGAGCGTGACCGACGGCGGCAGCGGCGACGGTCCTACTCACCCCTGAGGAAACGCAGGAGAGACTCTCCCAGCCACCTTGAAGCTCGGCGGATCACAAGGTAAGAGGAGAGCAAGACCCCTCTTGGTCTCTCTGGGAGACAGGCATGTGCAGCAACCCTGGGCTCACCTCTGACTTGCTTGGTCAAGGCCTGTGGATAGCTGTGGTAGGGATCTGCATTAAACCCATGTTGCAAGGACAGGCCTCCCTCCATGCACCACACTGCAGTCCAGGAGAGCTAGAGTCTCCATGACACAGAGAGCTGTTCCTCCAGCCGTTCCACTGCCTTGATGGTTCAGTTCCCTGCTCTAATGATAGTTTTTCCTCAGAGAACTCTGACTTTTTAAAACTGAATCCTTTTTTGAGAACCAATCTGGTTGGCTGGGAAAGGAGATTCAGAGGGGTGGAAGCAAGACTGAAGGAGACCCCAGAAGAGCCAATAGCTCGCTGCTTCAGGTGATCACTTATGACATGGGAGAGCTGGTCACATGTATGATCTGGACACAGAACTCTAAGATCAGATGAATGGTTTGGCCAGAAGGCTATCCTAGGATGGATCAATGTCTCTCTCTCACCTGGAGATGATCTACTTTATAAATAATCAAATGCAGAGATGCAAGCCAGGTCTCCCTCAAGCCAGGTGAGTTCCCAAACCACAGGGCTATGGCCAGGCTCTGAGCCTCTCTTGCCCAAAGAGTGCTTAATACAAGGTGAAACAACTCTAACAGGAGAGACTGAGAGAGACCCATCCCAGAATGGCCTGGGGTGAAGGCATTCCCTTGAGCTGGGAGGCAGAAGTTCAAATCCCTGGTTTCTCTCTTGTGCTTTGCAAAGCACTTCAGAACTTTTTGGTTTTGTCCCATGGAGGATGGAAATAGGTTTGAAAGCTCAGAAATGTTTTCAGGGTAGGAAACCTCTTCCCCTAATTTTCCACCACTGTCACCTGTAACAGAGGCTGCTCTTCTCCCTTTGTGCCCACAGCGCCCGGAAACGCCCCATCCCATACTACAGGCCCAGTCCTTCCTCCTCTAGCAGTGTCAGCAGCTATTCCTCATGGTACAGCGGCTTTAGCCGCTCTCCCAGCCGGAGTCGGAGCTACTCCAGCTACAGGAGCAGTCGGAGCCGGAGCCAGAGTCGAAGCCGGAGCTGGAGCAGGAGCAGCAGCAGTGACAGCGGCAGGAGCCGAAGCCGGAGTTCATGCCCAAGAAGCAGCCGCAGCAGAAGCAAGAGCTATGGCTCAATAGGCAGCTATGACAGCATGCGGCGCTAGGGAGGCCCTCACTGCCACATGCTCCAGTGTCATCTCTTTAAATTCCTGGTGTTATCCACTCTCCTTCTGCCTCCCAACCATAGGTTATTATTATTGTGTAATATTATGGCAGTGCTTAGGCCTCCTTGGTGCTAGGTACTGCAGAAACAGAGAGGCAAAGGGTGTCCTTGCTGCCATGTAGTGTACATGGATATATCACCACTCCCCAGAGATGGGGATACAGGACAGGTCAGCATTTTAGGGAGCGTCCATCAATAGTAAACCAGCCCCATCCATTTTGGGCCTGTCTCCATGCAAGCATTTCCCTGCTGCTGATGCATAGGGCAAGTTCAGCTCCTTCTTTTTTCCTGGTGGGCAGAGGGCAAGCAACAGTCTCTTTGTGTCAGGGAAAAAGAAGAGTGAAGATTGAAGAGAGCCTCACAAAGGCTTGTTATGTGCTGGGCCTGATCCCACCCCAGGGAAGTCAATGGCCTAGCTCCCCTTGACTTTAGGGTGCCAGCTTGGATCCTCAAAGTATAGCAGCCCTCTATACAGGGGAAAGCCAGAGGCCTCCAGAGAGTATCACATCTTCCCATTTGGTTGCTTTCCCTCTTTGCCTGTTTAGATCTAAGACAGAAGTTCCACAAACTTGTTTAATCTAAACCAGTTAAGTCTGATACTACATCCAGCCGGGTTTATCATAAACCTGTTTCGGCCATTTTGAAAGCAGTTTATGTGCACTGAACTTCTGTTCTGTTACAGGTTTAAACCAGTTTCTAATCACTTAAACTGGTTTATGTGCAACTTCTGTCCTTAGTCTTAGGGAGAAAATAGTTATTCACTAAGGGTCAGCCAGTTCCTGCTATAAATATAACCTATAAATATAAAGCAAGAAACCCATTCTGACATGAATTGCTTGAGAGAAGAGGCCAATTCCCCTTCTCCAGCCATGCACTGATTGCTGTGTCATGAGCTTATTCCCCACCCCCAGAAGCCTGACTCAGTTTTGGTGGTGCTGGTGAGATTTTTCATGCAAGTGGGAACAATCAAGGATCCAGGTCTGGGAACCCAGGCACACCATCAGGATGGAGGAGAGAGCCAATTCTCATTGCTGCATTTAAGAGTCATTCCTCAGCACTTTGCCTATGAGCTGTCAATCCCAGTCTTACATTTTCACCTTTAGGAAGAATCCTGTTGTTTTAAGTAGATTAAAAGGATGTTTGGGTCCCACACTACAGAAAGGATGTGGACAAATTGGAGAGAGTCCAGCAGAGGGCAACAAAAATGATGGGGGGCTAGAGGACATGACTTATGAGGAAAGACTGAGGGAACTGGGCTTGTTTAGCCTGTAGAAGAGGAGGCTGAGAGGAGACTTAATACCAGCCTTCAACTACCTGAAAGGAGGTTCGAAAGAGGGTGGAACTAGACTATTTTCAGTGGTGGCAGATGACAGAACAAGGAGCAATGGTCTCAAGTTGCAGCAAGGGAAATTTAGTTTAGATATTAGAAAGAATTTTCTCCCTAGGAGGGTAGTAAAACACTAAAACAGGCTACCCAGAGAGGTGGTGAAAGATCCATCCTTGGAGGTTTTCAAAACCTGGCTAGACAGAGCTTTGACTGGGATGATCCAGTTGGGGATGGTCCTGCTTTGAGCTGGGGGGCAGACTAGATGTGACCTCCTGAAGTCCTTTCCAACCCTAATGTTCTGTGATTCGGTTTTAGACAAGCCAGGTGGGATTGGAAGATTTCAGGGCAGCCTGATCTACAGTCACAGCCAGTGTGAGTAACAGCCCCCTTCCCCAGAGATGTTTGATATTGAAAGTAACAAGGGACAGCAGGGTGCGAAACACTGCGGCTGGCCTGTATCCAAGTCCAGGCTCTGTGTGATGGGCCTACATGGTGCTTTGACTTAGCCAGCTGACAGGGGTGATGCCCCTCTGTAAAGCAGAGTCAAAAAAAGGTAGAACAAATGAGAACGAAAACAACTCATCTGCACTTCCAGGAGGCAGCTGAGAATCAGGGCTGCCTGTCCTTGGATTCCTGCCTCTTAGCACCAGCTTCCTGCCATGCAGACACTTGTTAGTCCTCTGTGCCTTAGATGCTGGGAGCCATACAGCACCAGGCTCAGAGGCTCAATTCAGGTGGTGCAGGCTTCCCGCCCTCCCTTCCTACTCGCACATTTCCCTTCTGTTTTAGGCAGTGCTGCTGGTTCCTTCCCCAGAATGGCAGTCTCCCTTTCCGGGAAGGATGGGCACTTCTTTCTCTCTCCCCCACTATGCAAGGCAATGGGACATTTTCCATTCAGTGCATTAGACTCAGCTCTGAGGAATGAGGTTTTAGGTCCAGGCACAGGGTGACCACATGATGCCTTGGCTTGCTGGTGCAGTGCATCAAAACACCATCTCTTAACCTTTTCCTGCCCTCCAGATGATTATGAAAAGCACCTCAGCTCCATCCAACTCCTTTTCCTCTGATCCATCTCCTCCTAGTACCTGCTCCCCTTGACATAGTTGCTACATGGAGCTGTGGAGCTCTTCACCAGGTCAGTACTGGTCATGGAGTGTGGGGAAGCATCAGAAAGAGGGTGTTTCTGTCTGCCACTCATTTCCTGAGGAGCCACAAGCAGTTTTGTGGGAGGGCAGGGGTCGTCCTTCTGGACTTTGCATGCCAGGCCTGCCTTTGTTTTCCCTTTGCAGTGGGTGCCAGCACAGCCGGCTGTGCAATTACTGTGTTTTGCAGGCTGACAAAGGCCTCTCCCAGCTGCAGACTGAGTTGGCAACAAGGAGTTTATTTTTTTCTTGCAACAGCTGGGTGCTTAGCACCCTTCATTTGGGAATAAGACATGTTCCCCTCCCACCCACCCTGCATAGTTGTTATCTGCTTCAGTCTTAATGACTCAAAGATACAGGGTCTTAAGTGTTCCGAGGGGGCAAGTGGAAATTATATCTGCCACCGCGGAGGAGGAGGAGGAGGCAGCAGCAGCTTTGGCATGTAAAGAGATGCAAATCCTTTGGTTAAAGAGCCACCTGCAACCCTGAACTCCAGGGACATGGAGGGAATGGCAGAGCTGTGACCTGAGGGGAGAGATGAATGGAATGTGTGTGCATGTGTGCAGTGAAATATATATACCACAGCTCAGTGCCCTTCAGGTCTATTGGCAGCTGTTATTTTCAGTGGTTCAATAGGAGACATGCAACCATCTTGCTAAAAGCTCTTTCACAGAAGGGATGCCATCTGTTCCAGAACGGCTGAGGGTTCCCTCTTCTGCTCGCCTGTCATGTAGCTAAGGTGGTTTTATTAGCATTTCGGTTTCCCCACACGCAAGGTGCCTGTCAAGTGGTAGCTCAACTCCCCGTGTTTCCCTGCTCACAGGTGCTCTTCTCGTCCCACAGAGGGATGTGATTGCTCCTGTTAGCTAGAGCAAAGGGTCCAGGCAGTTCCCAATTTCCACACCCTGTAGGAATAGAAAACTGGGATGCTGAACAGTGCTGGGCCTGCAGACTTCCGCAAGCGGCTCAATGCCGTCTCCCCCCAACACTGTGTGCTGCTATGGCATATAGGAAAGAGCTTTCACCTGGGGAAAGGGAGGAATCATTTAACTCCTTTGCTTTTAGCTAGATATAAGAAACAGCTCCTTTTCCTTCAGTGTCTTAAAGCAAAATCTACATCCTAAGCGACCGAATACCCATCCTCACCCACTCGGCCTCTCCCAGGCTGATGCTCAAACACACTGTACTTTTGTTTTCCCAGCAAGATGGTGTTGCAGTTATTGGACTGAGGTCTCAATCACCTCCTTGCTGAGAGAGCAGACCCTGACTGCTTTGATTGCCCAACCACACTGGTAGTGATACAGTATAAGGCCAGGTAGTTAAAAGGGGGTACTGAAAAGGGGCTTCTAAAACTAGTGTAAATAGCAAACCATTACGTTGACTTGACTTCCTTACTGATGGGGACCTATGAACAAAGCACCACATGCTGGCCTCGGTCCATGTCACAAGAGTAGCGCACTTGGATCGAGAGCAAAAGAGGTAGCTCCTTGGATGACACTGAGCCTTCAGCATCCTTCATGAGAAGACTGCTGATCCATGCTACAAGGACTGCCTCTTGCCATATGGTTCCATGGCAGCTAAAGCTCTCTGGGTTTCCCAATCAGACTGGTATTGGAGTAAACCTCTTAAATTATTTATTAATTATTATTATTATTGTTATTAATCTATTTTTAATTGTATGTCAGAATGGATGCGATTGGTCACCATTACAGTATTTATTTATTATATTTTTGGAACAATAAGTTATTTTTGGATTTGTTTGTTTGTTTTAATGTATCCATGTCACTGTTCAAGCTTCAAGGTTTAGGAGGTTGGCCTCAGAACTCTATGAGCCCTCCGTGCCCAGGGAAGGCACTGAAGAATTAGACTTCAGCTCACATTAAAAGTTTGTGGTGAGGAAGTGCTGAACAAGCACAGTTCATTGTGCCAGAAGGATCGGAGTAAAAGGTTTAACTGTATTAAATGAACACACAGTCTTTTTCCTTGGAAAAATTAGGGCTTCTCACAGAAGCTTTGTCCATTCTTGTCTCTACTGGAGTCCAATGGATCTGAGCAGTGATTGCTGAAAAACTATTACTTGATCACACCAAGACACAGCAAGAGGCCTGTTGCTTCTTGTCTTGTTAAATGAAAGAGCAAAGGGAAAATTTGCAATCCCAATGAGGGGAATAACAGAGCAACCCTTTGCTGGTGTCATCGCTGAATGGGCGCCAGCTGGCTGAAATGCATGTTTCCCTTGGCTCATCATGTCAGAGCACAAAATGTAACCTGGCTTCTCTGAAAAAGAAACTCTGGTTCTCTTTGTGGCTGCTGCCTACAGGACTGTTGTATGTTGTCTGTTACCGAGTGACGACCTACCTATGGAAAATAAAGGAAATGACAATATGGAAGAACCAGCAGCACTGAAGGTGGTTCAAAATCAGAGCTCCAGTGACAAGACCTAACCAAGGGTTTTATTCTGTTTGGGTTTTTTGCTAGTGGCACTTTTTTTTTTTTAACTTATTGAAACTTCCAGTGCAATCCAGCCCTCCTTATCGGTTGATATTTGCAAATTCTGCCCGTTTGCAAAATCCCTGCAAGCTTTTCTGTCTGTGTGCCTTTTGCCAGCTGCTTTTTAAAGTGTTGTTTTGCTTGTTTGTTGCCTTTTGAAGAAATTTTGCCCCATATCTGGCATCTCAGACAGCTGCCGATTCTCTGCGAGGGCATCTTTCATTTAGTGATAATGCATCTTGGTTGTTTAAGAGTACATGAATCACAGCTAATTTGAGCCTAGCCAGTTAATCCCCAGGGAGGTGGATTCCCAAGGATATCTGGAATGTATCAGATGGCCCCCAGGGTTTCACAAAACATCGAAACCATTTCTTGGAAATGTTTTCTCTGAAGGATCCTTTTCCTCTAAACGTGTGCCCTTCCCCTCTCTCTGTCTGGTTCCCATCTCTTCATAAACTTCTAAAAGTTTCTTCCTTCTAGAATCCAGGAAATACCCAAGATCTGCAGTTTTAGAATATGCTGTGTTTAGTAGCAGCTCAGTCATGTTGCTCTTGGTTCTACTGTTCAAAACTGCCAGACGGGGCAAATGGGCTCTTTTAATCGCGACTAGCCCCCCTTGACATTGGACCCCTCACTTCTGTTCAATTCTCCAGGCCCTGTTTATGCTTTGTGCTTGTAATACATCCCTG